AACACGTGCCACATATCCTGGTGCACCTTGTACCCTCATGGAATCCACTGCAGTCGCGCCGCGGCATCCTCTTGAAATGCAGTGACCCCATCCAAGTCCTACCTTCCCCTTAAGTGCAGCCCCGTTTCGAAACGCGGGGCCCACCATAAGATGGACAAGCCCCAGGGCGATAGGGATTAGGGTTTATAGCTTATAGGGTTTAGGGGGTCCCATGTACTCTTGCAGCGCATGGACCATGCCCAAAACCCCAAACACCAGACCCTCTCAATGGGCCCCAGACTTGCCACCATCAACCCTGTAACGTGCAAACGCCCAAAAACACGTTAAAAGCTTTAAGAGTCGCAAAAAGTCCCCCAAAGCATCAAAAGCCGTTCCTAAAGCCCAGCACTCTAGGTCCCGGGGTCAGGACCTGACGATGTTGGACTGGCAGGTGGCGATGCCTGGCAGGGCGCTGGCTCCCGGACTTGGAGTTTAGGGTTTTGGGTTTAGGGTTCAGGGTTCAGGGTTCAGGGTTCAGGGTTTAGGGTTTAGGGTTTAGGAAAGGAGAATAACTCCCGTTTTCAGGCCTCCGCTGAATATTTGTAAACTTGAGCGCCAAAGGCAAAGGAAAACAGCCCCCAAAACACTCATGAAGTCAATATAATTCCAGAACCCCTATACTTGCGCGCAAGTAAGCGAATTGTGCCTGCGAACATGGGAATGAAGAAAGAATACTGACGAAAGAATTTTGCAACTTCACTTTCCTATCGCACAAGACTACAGAACATGCTGTGATTGATTCGTCCGTTTCCCTTCCTTCACTCATAATATGACTGTAGCGTTCTGGCTGTTCAATTCGTGACTCAAAAACGATGGACTCACCATTCCTTGTCTTGATTGAGTGTGCGTGCTTTCACTTTGTTCTCAAATTCCCAAACAAGTAAGCTGAACGATGTGAATCCAGAATCCCTGAAAAACCCGAGCAACAAGAAGTTAGCTTAGTATTGAGGCCTTTGTCCCTTCAATATTGAATCTGGCCTTTCGCACCCAGCTCTTTCTAACGGTTGCACATGATTTCCTCTTCCAAACTCAAAGGGCAAAAGTAATCAGCGCCAAGAATCGAATAATATTTCCATAATGGGAGGGGCCTAAGAAGACTTTTCTAAAATGCGCCGTCTATCTTCTTATGAGTATTATATCCCTAACAAAAGCCCCATATAGTAAATGAGTCCATTTCCCGATCACCAGATGCCGCGAAACAGTCCCGATGTGGGCCTTTGACTCCTAAGCCTCGCTCCTGAAGCCTGAAGGTAGGGGTTTAGGGTTTAGGGTCAAAGGTTTAGGGTTTAGGGTTTCCTAGGTCAATCCCAAATTTGGCTTCCCTGAGGTTTGGGGTGTAGGGGCTGCTGCTTCAAAACCTCCATCCGACACGAGCCCCAAGCCCGGTTTCGGCTGGTTCCGAAGCATGTCTCTGAGCCGCGGTCTGTCACAGGATGAAGTGAGATTCGGTGTCTGAAAGAACAAAAGATGTACAACACACCCCCTCAAAACAGCTCTCAAAGTTTGTTTTTGTTCAGTTTGGCCGTTTGGCCCTTTCGAATCTTGAAAACCCGCAGAAGCCTCCAAGCTCAACGTGTAGTTGTCAAGTCTGGTCCCTTCCTAACCTTGCATCCCCCTCCCTGCAGTCCCCAGTCTTCGAACCGTGAGGCATCAAGGCCGGGCCTTGCTTCGAAAGGCACTCAGCTGGGCCTTCGGCATACGAAAGTCTCCACACGAGTCTCACGAGTTTCGGGCTTTGGGGGGCTCAGGTTCACACAGGCCACCTATACAAGTCCCTAGAAGGTCCTGCTGGGCCCTGAGTTGCATGAAGCATGTGTGCCCCTAATCCCCAAGCGGCCGCTAGGAGAACTTGTCGAGCTTGCAGGCTCGGCGCTGTGGTTGGGTATCTTGAGCATGGACTTGGTTTCAAGTTTGCAGAGAAAGCGGGGGGGGGGGGGGGGGGGTTGATGCGTTGCACTTTGGGATGTGCCCACTGCCTTGCGTGCTATACTGCGAGATCACCCCCATGCACATACCAGATCGTGCCAACATACGCAACAGGCTCGGGGTGGGAAGGCGGGGTGTGAGTCCGACGTGAAAAGCTGCAGAATGCCTGAGAAACCGACGATGGCCTTTTCTGATTTCGCAGCCGCCAAGGGCAGCGTACGCTTTAGTTCATGAGAAGTCGTTCTGAGCTCTGAGTCTTGAACAAGAACGAAGGCCACAAGTGCGTGCATCTTGCTTGGTGGCTTCCTTGCGCATGCGACCCTGCGGGCTGCCTGTACTTCCGACGATGTGTTCAGCGCCCTTCGGACCCAAAAGCCCGCAAGGCTTCCGATGACGTGCATGTTGGCCCTGGCAGCACGTCGAGTGGAAGGGAATCTTAAACCCTAAACCCTAAACCCTAAACTTCTGTTTCTTGGGATGATGGGATGCTGGGGTGTGGGATGCTTCTTTGGGCCTTGCGCTTCTGTCTGGTCTCAGGGCTTAGCAAGCCCTATAAACCCTAAATGAAGCCCAATCCCAATCCCCAAAACAGCCACGCCCCCAAATTCTCTAAGACATAAACCCGAAAACCCTAACAAACCTCAACCCCAAACTATTAAAACTTTGAGTGTAAACCCTAAACAACACCACAGGGGGAACGCCAGGGCGGGTAGACAAATTTTGAAGCCAGCTACGTCCACACTCCGGGGCGCAACACTGTCCGAGCCCCGAAGACCCCCAAAACCCCGAACACATCCGAGCACCCGCTCTGCCAAGAACATGCAACTCCACACGCAAAACCCTGGGTCATTCACCGCTTGGAAGCTAGCTGAGAATGATTAAACATTGCTTCATGCCCTGAGTTCAATCAAAAAGCTGGGCACTTGGGCACTTGTCTCTTAGGCACACCTGCCCGGCACTGCCCGGGCCTGACAACTGTGCCGGCGAGGATTGCAGCAGTGGGAAACGCAAAGGCTCCAGGAAAGACCAGGAAATGCCCGACAGCAGCAAACTCACGCCCAACTAGCGCAACCAGAAGACAGTGAATCAAACAAGGAAGCTGTATGTAGAGCCTATGGGGTTTCTCTCGTGCTTTCGAGCCGCGGCGTGTGCGTCGGGCGGTGCAGGCTGATGATCGGAGTGGGCATTCCAGTCGGAGAAAGGGTTTCAGGATGGCTGAGGGAATTTGGGCGTCAGAGATTTCCGAGTTTTGGGCGTCTTGCTTGGAGTTCGAGCATGGTGCGGGCCGCGGGCCCAAAGTACTACATCAAGGACTCGAGGGTGCAGGTGTGCAAGGTTTTGGTTGTACGACAACGACACAATCATACGATAATTCGCACCCACTTAAGCACACGGATCGAACGAGAAGGGCTAAGTAAACCCTGGCAAGATCTCCAAACTGGTGACTGGTGATGAAAGGAGAACTTTGCAGGCGCGGTGCAAACACCGCCATTTATGTGTGAGGTAGCAAAACTTGCACTTCTGCTGAGAAGTTACTGCTGCAACGGAAAGGTATGTGCTGGGAATGCTATTTCGAGTCGTCTTGGATCCCCCTCCAGTATATCACCAGAAGCCCAAGAACATCTGCGAGATTGATAACTCGTAACATACGGATTGGGATGTCCCCCCTTATACTAACAGTCCTTCAGAGGGATTTTAGTACCCCTATTGTAATCCCCACTAAGCACTTTTAGTATAAGGGGGAACATCCCAACACATGGACTGTGTACAGACACAATCCACAAACAGTGGTTAGGCTGCGATCGATCCAAGACTGAGCAAAGACTCTCCCTAAACCCCGAACCCTAAACACGAAACCCTAAACCCTGCACCCTGAACCCTAAACCCTTAACCCTAAACCCTACTGTAAACCCAAAACCCTAAGCCCCAAGGTTTAAGGTCCCACGGGCACTTTGCATGCCGCCACAATCGATCACAACTTGTTCGGGCCAAGCGCGTGCCTGTGGGCACCGAAGACCTTCTCCAGAATTGTGTTAGGGTTTAGGGTTATCCTCCTTTCCCAGCCGGTTTTCCTAGTAGCTGAGTACCCTGAGCCAAAAAATGTTAACCTTCCAAATATGGTAGGCTTATATATACCCCAAAAGGTTAAAGGCCACCTGCTCAACTACGAAGTTTTGGGGGTTCAAGACTGCAGTGCAACAGATGGAGTTGTTTCCGCGCAGCCGCCATGATTGACAACTCCTCGGCCCAGATTACGGGCAAAGAAGACGCGCTCAGAAAGCTGCACTGCCACGGGGTGAGACGGAACTTACTGTTGGTTAGCAGGAAATCAGGGAATGAGGGGCATGAGGTACCCTATACAATCCCTTAATAAAGGGTATATATAGGGATGTAGGGTACCTCATTCCCTCAGCCCCTACCAACCAACAGTAAGAGAGCACACTCCGCCACGAACGATGTCCCGCCCTGCCATTGGCAGGAGGGCTCCAGTGCCCCAAAACCCTAAAAAGCTCACTTCTCCAATAACCAAGAAGTACTCCTACTAAACAAGGAATCCCAAAAAAGTTCAATCATTGGCTAAGGAAGAAAAAGGTGACCAAAGACCTCAACCCCTCAAGCCTGGAACCTCCAAAACCCCTACCCCGAAAAATCGCATGCACCTACAATCACCTAGAGGTGGAGTACGCCTCTAGGACCTTCTAGAGTTTATAGGATGTATGGAGTTTAGGGCTGTAAGTGTCGGGTCCCCTTCCCTTTTGGGAGCGAGAGTTCGTGGTTTGGCGGCGCAGACCCTGCGAGCAGGTTCTGCAAATGTGCTGAGCGGAGGAATTGAGGCCCGGTTTACCGGATTTGCCCTGCCCAACATATCCACACCCAACACTTTCAGCACTAATTCAGAGGCACAGCCCGTCTAACTAGCTTTCCGGCGTGAATGCCTCGCATCTTTCAACTGCCGCCCGGAGCTTCCTCTGAGTAAACCAAGCTTCCTCGGCCCATCTTTAGCCAGGTGCATCAGAGATCGACAAGCCTCCGCATCACCCATCCACCCCAAGCATCGACTTCTGCAAGATTGAGCTGAGATGATCAGCCATTTTCGCCTGCGCAGAGGGCTAAAAATGAGGACTGGGGGGTTGGTTTGGGCTTGCAGCTTCCCTAAACAGACCCTAACACCCCGTGTGGCTTTAGAATGGCTCGTTTGGCGCTCCATGTGAAGGTGCTGTCGTTACCATGATGTCATCTACGCCTATCATGGCGCCTGCAGGAGTGCTTATGCGGCTGCCACTCTTCGAGTGCAAGCTTCAGATACAGGATCACGAGTCTCCTGATGCCGTTACGGTGAGAAACTGTGTGGGGTTGATGAAACTCCGCACGTCCACGGTATCACCTCTAGTTCTTAATTTAATTCTTGTGTCTTGCTATCATATGACGTCGCTGTGCACGCGCTCCATGAGCTCCTTGGGCGCCATGATGGGGATTTCTGATAAGCCATATGAGCCCCGACTCGCCAAAAAAAACCCGAAACCCCCTCCCAAACGGTGCAAACAGTGCAGAATAACAGAAAAATGCGCAAGCGGTGCAGGTTGATTTTCTCGACGCTGCTTGTGGTCACTCTGACATGTCCCGCATTTCTGGAACTTTTTGACTTCCCCAGAAGCTTTCTCGCAGGCGATTCTCGCCCATTTCGGCTTCTTTCTCGAATTCCAACGTGACCTGATTCGGCGCGGCCATTTCCCTGGAATGATCTCGACTTTTTCGAAACCAATTGCTTTGGAGAGCCTGGATCGCGCAAATGCGGGCCTTTGGGTTGAATGTCAACATTCTCCGCAAAATGTCCATGGCCTCGGCCGCAACTCCGGGGAAGTGCAAACCCTTGCCTTCACGCGCTGCGAAGGAACGAATGTACCTCTTTGCATCTTCCCCCAGCTGCTCAATGTCCGCCGGCTCCGGGGGTTCCCAGGAGGTCAAAGATCATGTTAAGCGCGTCACGCTGTTTGAGTAAGTCGTCTGGCGGCATTGAAAACTCGCGTCTCTGATCAGGAGACAGCGGGATGCATAAGGACCCGAGAAACAACGGTCCCCGATCCTGAACTTGTATGCCCTGCCTCGTGCCCAGGGGCTCGGCAAAGATGCAGCCGACTGACCACATGTCAATGGCCTGTGTCGAGTGCCTTTGGAGTAAGATCAACTCCGGGGCTCTCCAAAACCTTGTCACCACATGGTCTGTGAGGTCAATCCTCAAACGATGGCCGAAGTCGCAGATCTTGATCGACCAGTTTTTGCGGGCATCCTGTCCATGCTGGTTGAAGAGGCAGTTGGCCGGCTTCAGATCGCGGCGCCAAACCCCTGCCGAGTGAAGGTACTTGAGTCCGCAAAGCAGGGTGTGCAGCAGCTTCTTGATGCGGTCAATACCCATCACCATGCAAACATCATCAAAAGTGTCGACGACGTCGCAGATCTTCACAATGTGCTGACGGCGCAGTTGCGCAAGGATTGCGACCTCGCGGAGAGCTCGCTTGCAGTCCTCGCGGCTCCTCTTGATGGCCACGAGGGTAGGCTTCTTGTGGATGAGCCGTTCCCCCTTGCGAACAGTGCCAGATGCGCCTGCACCGAGGAGCTCGAGCACCCTGTACTTGCCTGGGATCAGCCAACCAGCCTCGGGCTCCGGCCCCGCAGGCACCTGCTCCTCAATCTCGTGGCGGGAGTTTTCGCTTTGAGTGGCCACAGCCGCAGAGAGCTCCTGATGCCCCAACTTGTCGCACAGGTCGTTGATCCTGTCCCCCTGTTGCCTCAACTCCTTGATGAGGCGGCCTTGCGTCTCCGACAACTCATTCCGCAAGTCTTTCGCCGGCTGCCTGCGGTCTGTATTTGTGAAACAGCCCCGGCGCGAACCCTTCTTCCTGGGTTTCTGGCTGATCAAATCGGATGGGACGCAGCCCCAATGGCGAACTGACCAGAGTCGTGTTTTCACCAGCAGCGGCCCGGCCACCGCCTCGAAATCCTGCGGGTAAAGTTGCATGAGCTGCTGCGTCTGGATGATGCGTTGTGCCTTTAGCGACAGAAAAGATCGCCAAATAACTTCGTCTTCCCTCGCCGGCCTGGCGTCGCAACCTCCGTCGACGAAGGTCAACCTACCGCTCGGGCACGAGCCAGCGGCGGCAAAGCCCCTCGCAGGTTGGTGGAGTATCTTGCTGACCGTCACTGCCGGCCCAGCTGCATGGATGCTGGGCATCTGCGGGACAGGGCCAGTGGCAATCTGCCAAGAGGCGGAAGGATTTTTGGGCATTCCCCAAGTGCGGACCATCAGCAGCCACAGGAGACCCCATCCGCGGTGTTGCAGTGTTCCGAGACGCCAGGCGAGGACGTCAAGGATATTCAGAGGTTCATCACGTTGATCCGCAAAGCAGATGGCAAACTCCGGCGGAACCAAGATTTCAAGAAGACGAGAGATGAGAAGCTGTACCAGCAGCAGCCACGTCTATTGGTGGTCTCCGTTACAGGTTCGCATTTGCCCTGTCTTCGTTTGGCCACTCGGTCACTTCTCTTATTCTCGCGGATCCTGTTGGGGCCCCTTCAGCCTCCCCATCAGCTGCCTCCCTGCTCTGGAAGCTGTCAGGATCCTCAGTCACAGCTCCTGTTGGGTCGAACATCTGTCCCATTGCTGACTGCCCCCACCCTTTCCTTGGCGCCATGAAAGGTCGTCAAGGGCCTCTAGTTGAGCAGTGTCCTGCCCGCGGCTTTCTTTACAGCCTTCTGCACCAGCCCTTTCACCTGCCCTCCCGTCAAGGAAGGTTGCGCTAGGCCTTTGTCGCAGCTCCTCGTCGAGTTGAGCAGTGTCCTGTCTACAACCTTCTCCATAAGCTTGTCAGTGGGACATGTGTGAGTCATACTCTTCTCCCTGCCTTTGGTGGCTCCTCCTCAGTTCTCGGACCTTGTTTCCTCATCTCTGCAATGGCACCTTTCCTTTTGGCTGCCTCATGGATTTTGCGCTCTTGGCTTTCTGCTTGGGAAGTGAACAGCTTGCTGAGTCAAGCAGCGTCCTGCCCGCAACCTCCGCCATGTGCTGCGGCCGTCATGCTTGTGTGGCACGCATAAGTTGCGTCCTCCAGTTTGCTGTTACGGGCCCCGTCCCACGCTTGATGCGTCGTTCCAGAGCAAGCTCAACGTGTCCAAGTACAGCCTGACACTTCTGCCTGTGCAAATTGCCATCGCTCTGTCCCAGCTCCCCGCAGGGTCGAGCATTTGTCCTCCCTGACAACACCATTTCTCAGGCTTGCTACCGTTCTTCAGTCCCCTGTCAAGGCGCCGCGTTTGGCTGTAGGCCATCCCTTGAGCGCCAAGGCCCAAGTCGCTTCCTTTGACTGCCGCGCTCTCAATCCTGTTCCCCGTCATAGCATCAACCCTGCTGGCTCTGTGGGAATTTCGATCGTTCCACTGCCTTGGCTCGTTCATGCCGCTCTATTACATCGGTTCTAGTCTCGATGCTCCTCCTTTCTGGGACAGGTTTTGCTACGGGCCTTGCCTTGTCCTTCCTCGCTCTGCAGACTGCAGCTTTGCTTGGAGCCATAGCTTGGGCTCTCAAGCTACGTGGCGGTCACACCAACGCCGATACGCTTGCGCGGGCGACTCGCCTTGGTTGGCAGACATTGCTCTTTGATTCTTGCGTTTCTCCGCTATGCCCTTCCCTCCTCTCTGGCAGGGGAGTCAATGGATTTCAGTCCCCGCCCTCGGTCATCTGGGCCGTCACCGACACTTGGCCCCATCCATCCCGCCCTGCGACGGGGCTGTTGGTTCTAGAGGTCTAGATCCCTGTCGCAGCTCAGACCTGTCAGCTGAGCACCTTGTCCTTATGGTCGGTCTTCTGGTTCCGCCCCGGTGAAGCAGGACTTCGCGGCGCTTGACATCGATATCAGAGCTGCCTTCTACTCTCTCATCCGAGATGCTGAGGCTTGCAGAGGCCTCACATTCCGACCACCTCCATAAGATTACCGCTGACCTTATGCACGGTACTTCTTTCGGGTTGATCCCCACGTGCAGCTCACGGCAACCTACGCGCCCAGGCGACCCCACGGCCGATATCCTTCTTGGACTCGGCTTCAGCGCCTACTTGACCTCCGCCGGCAAGGCCCTTGATTCAAAAAGGCTTGGTTTCCGGGCTCCCACGCTTCATGGGCCACCTCTCCTTGCAGTTGAAGAGCCGAGTTTTGCGCCCAAAACCTATCGCCTCTACCAGGCGCCCAAAACCTACTACCACCTATCGCCTGAACCAGGCGCCACCCAAAACTTATCGCCTCTAACAGGCGTCAACCAAACTATTGCCTAGAGAGTTTAGGGTAATTTAATTTAGGGTTTAGGCTATTAGGGTTTAGGGTTTAGCTGTACACTTCGCGCCTGCGATGTCCTCGGGCCCGCCAAACATCCTCAGCAGATGGCGGTTCGGGGTTCTTCAGAAAGGCTTGGCAAGTTGGCACTCAAGGGGCACCTACATGATCTGAAGTCCGAAAACGCACAAGAAACCTCTACTTGCAGACGAAGCTCGGCCCAGCCCAGTCTCGAGAGGAACACATTCCAAGGCAGGATTTAAAGACTTTGGAGGGTTTGTTTGGATTAGGGTGGTTCTCTTGCTCTCCCATGCATGTATGGTGCCTTGAGCCTCATATGGAATAAAAATGTAAAATTTAACCCAACAATGGCAAAGTTCCTCACTTGGGCTGATGATCTTCTTTACCCCTGTCAAGGGAATGAGCCTTCAGCCCTAGTTGACGATACCCTCCACACTGCTCTGCTTCTGGCTGACCATGCTGCCAGTTTTGGCATGGAGTTTGGGTACGGCGTCACGAAGACTGCTGCGCTCTTCGCCCTCCATCCACGACACCATCTTGCCAAGTGCTGCTGGAGGGCGGCGCTGTCCGCAGTCCTCCTGCCTATTGCGGAGGTCTACGAGCATCTTGGAGGTATCATCACGGCCGACAATCACCTCGCGCCAGAGGTCCAGTGTAGGGCCTCCTGGCCCGTGCGCTAAAATTTTGCGCAGCAATTTTTTTCTTTCAGTCTGAGTTCCCCCCTGGTACGCGGCTTACCACGCTGCCTTTGAGGTTCTGGCACAGGCTGCTACAGCCTTGGCTCCAGCTGGAACATGAGGCCCGACCCAAGGCCTCTTGGCTAATGTTGGTATGTTTTGAGGGTTTACGGCTTGTCCCACAGCAAATCACCGCTGGTCGATCTGCTCCACGCTCACGCTGAATCCTCTGAGTCAGGGCGGTGGGTCAAAGCCTGCAAGGATGCCATCAAGGCCTGTAAGCGGCAAACCCCTTTGGCTGCGACTGCAGCCGCGTTATGAGCCAGCCGCAAGACTGGGGACCTCGCCGCGCAGCAGGCCTGCCATGCGTGCGCCTGCATTTTCTGCGAAGCTTCTTTTGTGTCCTTCCAAAAGCTCGCTGTCCATCAGACTAGACGGCATGGCCTCTTCGCGCCATCAAGGCTCTATGCAATGGGCCCACATGTCTGTGTTGCTTGAGGTACTTCCACACCGCCGATAGGGTCAAACACCATCTCCGCACTGCCCACCAGTGCCTTTGGCGAATTGCGCACCTGCTTCGCCCAGACGAAGCCAAAGTGCAGGAGCTGCAGGACCGGAGAACAGTGGCAGGCCTACAGCACCACTCGTCCTTGGTTGCAGGCTTTGGGACCTCCTCAGCCCACGTGGGCAGAAGTCGACGCGGCAGCCGGAGAGGACATCACCCTAGGTTCTCTCCAACGCAGATACCGACCCCCCACCTCAATTCTGTTCCAGTACATCAGGGCCGGTGAGGGGGAAAGGGTAAAAGAGAGGCCCCGGCCTGCCAACTGCCGGAGCTACTGCCGCCGTACTTGCCACCCTCAGACCCGGGCCTCCTGATATCCGTCGCACAGAATTTCGGCTGCAGATCCCACTGCTCCTCAGTCTGCTCGAGGATTCCACATGCCCCTTCTGCGTCATTGCCCTTGCGCCTCCATCTCAGCCCTTGACTTCCGCTCAAGACTTGTTGCCCTGGTCGGCCATATACTTGTCTTCTGTCAACATCACAGCGTTTTTTTTGTCCTTCGCGCACTGGCAATCACTTGAACATAAGGGATGGTTTCACCGTTTTTGAATTCAGCACGAATTTTGGGCAACGTCCCTTAGCAGGACTTGGATTGCCGAGCAGAACAGAACAGAACAGAATGTTTTTCACGTCGTGCCCGATCTCCTCAAGCAGATCCTGCCAACACTGGGCGCACTTCTGCCTTTCGCGGCTTCGGCGGCTGCTCTTCGTCTGAGCTGCTGCACCTCGCCCTCTTTCGGCTACACATGGCACCGTTGGTTTTCCCAGCGGTGGGTTTCAGGGTTTAGGGTTCAAGAATTGTATTAATGAAGGGCTTTGTGCCAAGGATTTCCGGCTCCAGGACGTGGATGAAGTTCGAAGGACCAATGCTTGTATCATCTTCACAGATTCCTGTCGGGATGAGCTAGGCTGGGCAGTAAGATCGACCAGCAGGGGGAATGCGTGCAAACAGAGGGTACTTCTACTGTATGACTCTGTATATATATATATATACACATACATACAATATTTCATTCAGTACATGTATTTGTCAATTAATCGGGGTCTCCCATCTTGCGCCTGCGCTCCTCCCAGTACTTGGGGCATGTCTTGAAGCGCATCTAGCAGTTGCAACTTAAGATGCCTGTAACGAACTGCAGGAATGCCAAAAGCACTTGCAGAAGCCATCCTTGTCCGCGCCTGGCCCGCCGCAATGCCCAAACGAACCGAGCAATCTTTCTCAGCCTCGCCACCGGTTTGGGCTCAGATCCAGGAAGCGAGATTGAGGGCGTGACAGGAAACGTCTGTACGGTTAGTGGGCTTCCAATGAGACACTCGACAGGATGTGTGAGATCGTGACTCCCAACGACAGAGGAAAGTTCACCCTTGGATTCCTCAGTAAGCAACAAATAACTGTTTCTCACACCATGCAACCAGTAGAAGGCTTAAGATTTTGTTATAGCATTTCGGTGCCTCTAAACACTTTGACAGGAAGCCCATGAGCCACCAACATCGAATGTTCGATTCATGCAGCTGATTACCTCTTCATGCGCTGGCTCGCAGAAACAGATGCTAGTGGACAACATGAAGGGCCTTAGGAAAGGACGCAAAAACGTCGAAGCGCGAGGCCAATCGTCTGTATGTTGACGTAGCCGTCAAACAGAATTTCAACAACCCAAGTCTTGAACCCAAACTTAACCTAGTGTCCTGCTGCGACCTGTAGCTTGCAGCAAACAAAACAAACTCTTCACCCAGCCCGCTCCTCATGGTCGCCCTCGGCACGTGCTGCTTCTATGGCCTGACACAGATGGCGCACTCCCGAAGCTCGCACTCTGCTTAGGCTTCGCCTTTGGGGCCTCCAGGGGTCCAGGACCCTACAGGGCTAGCTCGGCGTTCTAGACAAGTGCCGCCCTCGCACAGCCTGGGTGAAATAGTCGATGCTCTGCTCGCTCTGGCCTGGAACCAGAGGAGACTGCCATCAAACCCTACAGCCACAAGTCCCACACTCCCCAACCCCAAGCCCTCCAAATTCCTAAACAATCTCAAGCCCAAAAAACAAGGTCCCAGGCGCATGCTAATAGCATATAGTATACTGTTGCGTCTACTCTTCCAGCCGCGAACGGCAGGAACAGTAGATGCAACAGTATACTATGCGATAAGCAACGCGAGTATTCAGTGCGCTCGTACGAATGAGTGAATGAGTGAATGAGTGAGTGAGGGAGTGAGCGAGTCGACCAGCACTCCCCCTGCAGACGGATGTGTCGGTTGAGCTTGCAATGGTGCACGGGTTGCACTTGTGAACCAGCTGGTGAAGACGATTGCGTCCCTCTTTGAAGTTCAGGCCATCAAAGAACCGATCGCCAACGTTGAGTTGCTGACTGCAGGTCCGGTGCACGCGAAGCGCGTTACATCACAGTTGAGGGCGGCCTGGAAAAATGGTTGTATCTATGATGCCGCTGGCTGCGTGCTTGGCTGGATTTGCTGAAGGATGCTACAGGCACCGATGACATTCCTATTGAAGCTTCACATACACGCCCTAGTGCCGCAGCAAAGTCTGCTCCTCATGAGGTGTTCTTTTATTCGTGTTGAGATGTCTCTCGCATCTGCCTGTCTGCAGTAGCTCGATCTTTCCTGAACTCTGACACACGGGGGGGCGACGGCGCTTGCGGAGCCCCCCTGGAATGTTGAACCTGGCTGGAACGCAACCACCTCCAGCCCCAAAACGAAGCAGCTTCTACCAGAAGGACGTAGGTATGCAACAGATCGGCCTGCAACTCGAAAAGTCAACTTGCAAGGGTTGAATGCGCCGCCCTCTGCCTAAGCTTTGGTGGCCGTCCACCATGAGTCAACCCCACAATACAACTACCAAATCTGTAGGCCAAGTGCGGAGAGAGCAGAAATGCTCCCACCAACGTCACAACAAGTCATGTAGTACGCAACACCAACATGCCCAATGCCAGATCAACAAGCCGTGCTGAGCGAACACAGAACATCCACACGCTGAGGGCCCAAGAAAAACCCTTTAACCAAAGCAGCACGCACACTCAACCAGGTCTCAATGATGTCACAACAAGCAAACTAATAATTTAGCTACCGCAGCAGAGCCAGTGTACGGGACCAGCATGCCCAGTGCAAAGGGAGCCAAAAAAAACACGCCCAAATTGCTTGAAGATAGCCCCCAGCCCAGCAACCTCACACAATGCAATGTCGCAAGCACAGCCGGCATGCGAGATCAACAAGCCAAGTCCAACAAAACAACACACAAAGGGCCACATACGACGATGGTCAATGTAGCGCAATGTATCTTTGTAGAACACGACGAAAATTCCAGACCTGCATGTCAGTGCCGACGGAAACTCCAAACACAGGCCGGCAGGTACTATAAATAAAGCCAAGGGCCAATACTTCAGAACCCTTTCAAAGAAGGTCAGGGACCGCATTAAGGGACCATGTAACTACCCTTACGGACAACGAGACCCGATGTTCCCCATTCCGAGATCAGAACCATGCCAGGGCTTAGACTTTGGGGGGCCCTGGGATGTGAGGACTGAACCCGAACTAAACGACCACCCGACAACTCCCCTGCCTTGCTGGCTGGCCAGGATGCCGAGCTTCTTCAACGCGGCAGCCTGGCGCAACGCCACGACGCCACGGCTCTAGACTTGGCCAAAAGGGGGATGAGTACAGAAATCAACGCCATGGGGTCATGGGGGGTTCTCGAGGACTTGGGCTCGCAAGTTCTGCGGGGCTGTGGGCTGTCGTCGTGCAACCTTTGAAGGATTTGGTGACCAGGGTTTCATGAATGAGTGAAGAAAGCGCTGGTTTCACCTAGGTCCATGCTTGATTCTGGCCTGCTTTTGGCAGCACGAAGGCTCAGTGCTCAGGGTTAGCTGCTAGCTCCTGTTTGTGACAACCCCGAAAAGTCTGAGCCCCAAATCGCAGGCTTCAGGGCTTCGCGTACTGACACTCGACCGACTGACACGCTGCTCTTGCATCACCCTCACGACACCTGCACCCTGCACCCGCAAGTCTTGGAGGTAGCGGCCTGGTTCTTGGTCTGCTTCAGTGTTCCACAAAGGTCCACGTAGCGCTCGACCAGGACTTTCATCTTGGCGCGCGTGACACTCTGTGCGGCACTTGCAAAATCTGTCTGTGCCATACATGAGAAAAAGATTCTCCAATTTTTTCCACCGTTCCAGGCTCGACTTCCAGGCTGTCAATTGCCACGTAATTTGTAGACATAAGAAGCACTTCTTGAAACTTCTAACTCAAGATTTCACCGCGTTACATAATCCTTGGGCTTCCGGACAACGGCCAAAATCTACGGACTTGCCAAGATGTCAGCCTTCTCCGGGTCAGAGTCGTAGATGCCAGCGCTGAAGCTTAAACTGCCGATCGCCTTAGAATCACAAAGAAATGCAAAACCCTAAGCCCCAAGCCCAAGACCCTAGACCCTAAACCCTAGCTCAGTCCACCAAAGCTCCCCAAGGAGACGTTCGATTTTGCGATGGTGGCGACTCGGCCCCTACATGACTACACAAGACCTTACTGGTTCTTCTTAGTTGCTAAGTTCATAAGCCCCCCAAAAGTGTACACTTTCAGTTCTATAGGGGATTCCAGTATCACAAAAAGTGTAAAGTGCGCTCACTCAGCTACTCAGTTTTAGTAGGGAATGACGTACCCGATAATATAATACGTGAAAGGGGGGATATATAGGGTACCTGATTCCTGATTCCCTCATTCCCTACTAAGAACCAGGGGAAACTGCGTGCCCGACGGGCTGAACCGGTGACCGGGATCTTAGACGCAACCCCAGACCTGTTTAACAGCATGCTCCCCCAATCTGCGATAGCTTGGCTCAATGCTAAGGCTTTGAAAAAATCGATGCCGACGGAGCGATGCGAGTTAACGCTCCCTCCCCCGCCCCTTGAAGCTTGAACCTTAAACCCGACTACGCTTTGAAACAAGGAGCTAGGCTCTGCCCCTCCAAGCTGTGCAACTGCAGTGCGTAGCGCAGAGCATACCTGGAATTGATGGCCGCTGATTGCTTCTTGCCCCAACAGCACTATCAGTTGTATTGAGGGTACATTTAGGATTCAGGGCACAGCCCGAGGTAGTTGCTGGGTTCAATCGGATATTCCCATATTCGGCCCTGCACCCTCGACTTGACATGCTTCAACTCAACACGGAGAACAAGCTCTGGGGTCCCAGGCCAAGCATGCACTATACTCATGAAAAGCTATGAACCCCAAGCTGTCAGCATGTGGGGCACTGATGGTTCACTGTGGAAGCCTCCCTCTCGCCGAGGTTTGCGTACGCCAGCCTCGTTTCAAGGACTGTCCGGGAAATTTTATGCAGCTTCTAGGGCTCTTAGGATGCCACTCAAGGTTGGCGGGGGTCGTTTCGGCCCACAGCCCCGGGTCAATCAACACTCGATTCGCGAAGACATCCCTAGGGTTCATGTGCCAATTGAATTCAAAACTCTAGATTTGCTTCTGCTGTTGCCTGTGCTCATTTTCGGTAAACCTCTAACCCCCGCCAAGACTCTCTCGAAACCCTTCGCCCGACACCTGGCCCGACACTTGAGCTGCTGACCCCATGTTCAAATGCGCGACGAACTTGCCAATGCTGTCCGAGTTTTCTCGGTGCCTGTCGGTACAAGGGTTCTCTTCACTCGCATCTCAGATCCTGACATGCCACCATGTTCACACAGTCCGCTTCACGATATGATTAACATCAGGCGTTCCGAACGTTCTGAAGCCCTGAGCCCAACATCTTTGAAAACGCATCCTGAACCGTTGGTTCAATGTTTCAACCCTTCAAGGCACTCTGGTAACAAAAGACACTGCGAAGCTGCTAAAACGCACCTGTTGTGGTAGTAGATCGCCTTGCGAAGCAGATCAGGCCTGTTCAAAACAGCAATCGCCTCCGATTCAGCACTCAATGTCGCTAAAGCGCCAGAGCCCTAGCTCGAGAAGAACAGATGTTGAACATCCAAACAACTGAACCAAACACCGACTGCAACCCGTCCAAGCCCAAGCTGAAACTATCTATTAGCCGCTTATTCGCCACGTTGAACCGCTTGACAACGGCTCTCTCAAGGTTGCAAAGGCGTGAACAAATCTTTTGTTTTACCGCACTGCCGTCGATCGTTCGTTACGAACCTGGCACTTCGAACCTCCTCTGGACGCGTGTGCGCTCCAGAAAAATGCGCAACTCGTTCAGGCCTTGAGGTTCGTGCTGCAGTTGCAAAAGAGTATCGCAACTCGCGGCGAGCATGGTTGGAGTTCCCTCACAGATGAACGACAGTTCGTCTCTATTCCGCTGAGCTGACTCCGGACGTGACGGAAAACCATACCAGACGCGGGTTGAGGTGGACCCTCTATTTAAGATAAGGGAACCCCCCTATAATGGACCCCCAAATCATAGGATCCCTTATGATGAGGACCCCAATAAGGTATCCCTAACTTCGGAAACCCCCACATTTGAGTCTGCTGTTGGAGGGGAGCGGGGGGGCTGTCGTGTCCGATTTCGATGTTGAATGAACATCTCAACTTTCGGGGAGGGGTACAGGGTGTTCGAGTTCGACTGCTCATAGCACCTACCCCTAAACCCCCCTGTATGCTGCTGCTCCTGGCCTGATGGTGACTGGTGTAGGCGGAGGCCTCAGAGAAAGCCAGGTTCGCCACTGAGAAGCCCAAAGTTTGGGCTTCCTACACTCCTTGATGCTTCCCCAAGCTGCAGAAACCATCCAACCCAGTACCCTGAATCATTTTACGAATATAAGGGAACCCTTTGAGAAAGCCCCCAAATACTACGATTCCCTATAATAGTAAAGACCCCAAAAAGGTACCCCTGATATCGAGGTCCACGTTCTTTTGAAGTTGTAGAGGAGGGAGCGGGACGGGGCGGGGACCTGTGCGATAGCTCTGATGGGCTTTAGCTTGCTTCAAGCTTTGGGGACTATGAATTTAGGGTTTAGGGTTTAGGTTTAGGGTTTAGGATCTTCCAGAACTGCAGATTGTTTCTTTTGATGTGGTGGCTCAGTAGTTCAAGTTGCGTTTGCAAGTAGATCCGAGGTATCTCTGGCCATCATGTTCAATGCGCAAGCGCCCTGAATCGCTTTGTGGAAGTCGGTTCACTGCGGGCGGCATGGTTGCGAAAAAATGGGAGATCTGTCTTTTACCTGCTACTCATTTACTCCCATGGTGCAAGGTAAGGGGGGGAAACATCGACGCCTTCTAGCTCCGCGCCGTTCTGCTCAATGCAGACAGCTTCTTCACAGGCCCAAGCCTGTTTCAAAGCGATAGAGGCCAAATGCTGCACAAGACCATGAGATTCTGGCAACGCTCGAAGTCCTAGAGCTTCGTGGACCACACCCAAAAGCAGAACAATCATCTGAACACTACGGGTATAGATTCCGGGGGAGCATTCTAGGGGAGCTACGAGAAACTCTATGAGGAGGCCCAAGGTGCCCCAGTGACGCCAGCGCGGGTGAACGAGGCGCTGGGCCTTGGGCTTAGGGAGTTTAAGATGCGTCCTCCAACGCCTTGGCTTTGAGGTTCTGTGCTCTGCAGGACTTAAGACTTAGGGTTCAAGGCAAGCTGCACACGAAGGGGCCGAAAGGATGATGTTTTTGCTGAAGCACAGATCGCGGTCTCCCTGCTGAGCACCAGAGCCAGGAGACATGTGGGAGACGTGCGTCAGGGAGGCTTCTGTTGATGTTCTGTTTGATCACGGCTGGTCTTGCATGCTCGGGAGGTGTCACTGCGCCTACATGAAAAGCCACCCATTGTGCCATTCTCAGCTAATCAACTTGGAGTTCAACCCTCCCTCTATGCCAGAGCTGCTGACCGAAGTCACCGCAAAGACTGCAAAGACGCACAGCTACGCTGATCTCGCACAATCTACATAGAATCTACATCTTACTTACAGCTGCATGTCGATGCTACGCCCGAAGTGGGGGGCGAACGGAGGCGCAAGGACGAGCAAGCCAACGCCGCACTTTTGCGACTCATTGCAAGTGGTCACGAATCCCTTTTGCAGGGGCTTTGAAAAGGACAGCGTTCATTGTCGATGCTGCTGCCGCCATTTCCGGCTCCTTGTTTACTAAATTGCCCGATCGTCTCACTGCCAGGGGCTGTGCATTTGCTCGACAGGCAGGCACAGACAGACAAACCGATAGCGAGGCGGGCAGAGAGACAGTGTGAGTGAGTGCGTGCGTGTGTCTGGGTGCGGGTGCGGGTGCGGGTGCGGGTGTGTCCGTGAGAACCTTGACACTTTGACGGGCGAAGTTTCGGCCCAGGATGTGGAGTCGTTTGGCGGTGTTGTCAGTGCTGTCTCGTCCCGGTAAAGACATGGCAAGATTCCGCAACGTTTTCAAGCAGGAGCGTGATAAGCTTGACAAAGCTGCACTTTGGACTCTAAGCAGAAGTTCAGCCCAAAATCCGATTCGAACTCTGCTGTAGCTGAGGTCAGGTCTCTGGTTGGCGTTCTCGCCTTCTGTAGCTGCTTCACCTGCGCAGAGCGCGGATATGCCCTCATACCAAGTGCCGGCTGTGTAAGCCTCAAAGAGAAGGGACACGAATCGGCCAATTTTGAAACTAGTTGGCCGGGCAAACACACACACACACAATGCTAACTGCTGCTGTCTCCACGGAACCTGCGAACCCAAGTCTGCCCAAAGGCCAAACCCCAGTAATCCAACTCTTCAGGCTTGCTTCTAAGAATACACTGCGCAAGACCCAATCCTCGTCCGCTTCAGACTCGCTCAGTCCTAAACCCAAGAGCCTAGATCCCGTGCATCAGCCTTATCTTCACCCCAAACCACTCAAAGCCGACGGCCTTGGTAACCTCAAAACACGAAATCCAAACTCTGCAAAAAAAGATCGAAGCTGACCCGCAAACCCGTACACCGTCTGACCCCCAATCCACCTCAGCCCACAAACCCAGCAACATATATTCCTTGTAGAGCTCTTTGTGTCAAGCGTGTAGCACAATGTATAGCCTTTGTGGGCACCGCTGCCCAGAAGCTGGTAGTCCACCTCCGGCATCGCGGATTCAGGGTCTTGGGAGTTTCGGAGGGATTCGGTGCTTGGCTTCGAATTCTTCAGAGTTTCTCAGTGCTGAGAATCGGCTTCAGGCATCTAGAATCTAAGCGAACGGTGTTGGATACCTGTGGGGAGCTTCTTCTTTCTCTTTTACAAGTGCATGCTGGAAGGCGGTGCAAAACCCCGCAGATTGAACCTAGCGCTTGAAGTTTTTAAGCTTAGGTCTTAGGTCTGACTGTGGGCCCTAGCCATCCCGAGGAAACCTCTCAAACCTGTGCAGATGGTCGGGGAGAACAGCAGAACAAGAAGTCATTCAACGGGTGCTGTCTTCAAGGGCACTTCGTCTCCAGGTCGGGCAGCGTATGCCCAGAGGTGTTTTGGTAAACCTATTCCAAGACTTCGTTCATGACATGTGGATGTGCAGAAGAATTATGTCACTTAACACCAGGAGGGCAGTGCTCGGTACTGTGGGGGCACATTGCAAACCATGTCCAGACAGCACTTTGCATACCATCTCGTGTCCTCGAAAAGCGTCGAAAGCCCGGCACAAAATCTGGCTGAGCATGGGACCCCAATGCAGTGGTAGCCAAGGGCACCGCCCTGGCTGTCATTGCACTCCTCGAGAGACGAGAGAAACGAGGTGGAAGCAAAGGGGGGGCTTGTCTTTCAACTCAGGCACAGAAGCGTCAGAACAGATCGAGGCCCAAAGCAACACTGCGGAGAGTACCAATCATTTGCGTCAAACTCCGAATTTGAGCCAGACACAACAACAGGCCTACGCGTGCGCCACAGCTTTGGAATGTTCTCCCATGTTTTGAACGGTTTCTGCAGCGGCTATGATGCCTGGGACGTTCGGGAGTATTCTAGAACAAAGGAGACTTGCGAGTTTTTTTTGTTGCCCAACATTAAAGCATAGAACACAGGCTGTCGCAGGGACTGTCAGCTGGTCAGGCGTTCGGCTTTGAATGCAGCATGAGGTTCTATATCCCGACTGTCTTGGTATGTACAGGTTTAGGGCTTAGGTTGCGCAACGTCGTTGAAAGGCAGGCAATCCAAGCAGGACTAGAAGCGGGTCAGCCCAACTGCTTCTTCGGCTAAAAGTATGTCTTGCAAAGAACTTATCATCGTCAAAAGCGATACGTGAATGGGCCCCCGAACAGAACACCCTAAAGTGACGTCAACAGCAACAAGAGGCTTCACTAGTTTGAGACTGTGCTACAACCTCTCATCCCACACTATTCCGCTTGTCCCATATGCTCCTTGCAAACGCGCAGGAACTGCGTGTAGGCGTCGATCGCCTCGGGCTACCAGTAGCGCAACGGAGGTCCGATCAGACACTGGATGCTTAAAATGGAAATCAAGGTTCCCATTACAGAGCTTAGGGTTGAGGGTTTAGGGTTGGGCCTAGGCGTTCCAGGCTGATGGCAAGTGCCAGAAAAAGCCTGGCAGATGTGTCTATACACATTCGACTCAACCAAGCGAATCGACTTGAGTGAAAGCAAGGACTACAGCAGCTGTCTGCCCGCGCGATTTAGCCTCTCTATGGAAACAGGGAGGTGCAAGGTCGGAGGGGGGGGGGGGGAGTGGAGGGAAGGATGTCGGCCTTTCGTTCCTTTGAAAAGGGGTGAGGCGTTTCATAGATGCAACAGAACTGATGAGGTTAGACCATGGCATGGCCAAAGCCAGAGGGCTGGTGGGTAAATGAGTGGACGGCAATGATGGTAATGCTGTAAGGGCTCTTTATTTGCCTACTTTGATTCGCAGCTTTACGCAGTCTTCGTGGACGTGTTGACGAGGGTGGGCCTTCCGGTACTGCCCGAGGTTATCGCGGAGGACGCCGAGCCTCAGAAGTGCAAGAATGTGTGCCCCATCCAGAACTTTCAGCCACCGAGCTGTGTGGCGCAACTTGAGCCCCACAGCCTATAATACGGCCTTTACCTATCCGTCAAAGGGCTGCGACAACTTTGAGCTTCCCGAAACTGAAGATCCTGATGCAGAATGCGCATCAGACCCCCCTCCATGAGCAGAAACTTCCAAGCCGTGCTCACGCAGACTTGGGTTTAGGGTTTAAGGTTTCGGGTTCAGGGTTCAGGGTTTAGGGTTTACGTAACCGACCGGCTCCTGTTCGGCACCTCACTGGCTCCAGAGGAGCAGTTGAAAGGTTTCTGTGGTTTCAAAGTATTGTTTCAGGATGGCGACGAACCGCAAGACCCCTGTGACGAACCTATAAACAGTGAACATTGGGATGTTCGCCCATTTCTAACAGTCCTTAATGTGGATCATAGTACCCCCCCAATATAATCCCTATGAAGGAGTGTTAGTATAAGGGGGAACATCCCACAACGAACAAGACTAAGCACTCTTTGAAAAAAAGAGAGAAAAAGCGAGTCTCCCAAGGCTGCCCGGCAGCGAAAAGTGCGCACGGCCCTCCTCCCGCAACTTGGAGGCCCTTCGGCACGCAAAGGTCAACATCTCGAAGTCCTTGGAGTTCAGGAGCGCACGTAGGGGTCGGAAAAACTACTACTGATATTCCCTTATGGTGCCTGCATAATTATACTATCATAACCCCACCAAAACCCTATTCAGGCTCCTACATTATGTCGGGAAAGGTGGCTTTCTTTGGCGACTCGCGCGCTTCGGCTAGGGAAAACGCTTGTTCTTAGTACTTTTTGGTTTGCGACTTCTTGCTTTGAAAAAAACGCATGTTTTCGATGTGTTTTTTCTCGTGTTTGCGGGTTTGGTGGCCAAGGGATGCGCTGGCAACATGGACTTGTTACTTGCATGAAATGATAGGCGAAGCACCGTGGTATTCAACGACGTGTCTGACATGATGCTAGAGGTCGAAAGTGAGCCCCAAACCCCAAACCCCAAACCCCAAACCCTAAACCCTAAACCCTAAACCCTAAACCCTGAACCCTGAACCCTGAACCCTGAACCCTGAACCCTGAACCCTAAACCCTAAACCCTAGAGCCCAGCTGCTTTCATCTTTCTCATGGCCGCCGTCCGCTCCTCCGGAAGCAGGGGCTCGCCATCCGGCCGCCGCGCAGGCGTGTTCAAGTAGCTGGGCAGCTCTATCCTCAAGAGGTTTAGGGTTTAGGATTTGGGGTTTAGGGTTTAGGGTTCAGGGAATTGATGGCTCGATGTTCTGATGTTTGAGTTTAGGGTCTGAGGGTAAAAAGTAAAAGGACGATAACCGTCAGGGTTGCAGGGTCCCGAGAACAAGCTCCAACCGGAGGGAGCTCTTGATGTATACCTCCCCTAAACCCTAAACCCTAAACCCCAAACCCCAAACCCTAGACCCTAAACCTTAAACCCTAAACCCTAAACCCCAAACCCCAAACCCTAAACCCTAAACCTCACCAAGAGTCCTCTGCGGCTGGAGCATGCCAGGATATCGCTGGGCGATTCCCGCACCCACAGCTGCAGTGCTGGTACTGGCAGCGACCTTGAGGATGCACTTCAGGGTTTAGGATTTACTGGTTAGGGTTTAGGGTTTAGGGTTTAGGGTTTAGGGTTTAGGGTTTAGGGTTTAGGGTACGGGGGGCAACCGAAGGAGGACAGGGAACAAAACAGTCAACCCCAACAGAAGCCCTTGATCCCCTGGACCAACCAACACCAAACCAAACCCAAAAGACCAAGCACCCTTTTCTCACTAAGTGCACTGTCATCTTGAGCCAAAAATTTCCGGGTTCGTTGACCCTTTTCAACTCCCATCACCAACTCCTTTCTACACTACCAGTTGCAGCTCCGCACTCCCCCTGTCCTAGGATTTCCTAGGACGCATTGGAGGTGCAGTTCTTTGGCCAAAAACCGCCATTTAGGCAGCAGCCAGCTGCTTGAAATGCACATTATGGTTTTACGTCATCCAGGACGAACCTTCAGCTCATTGGCCGAATCCTTTACCGTTGAGGATTTCTTCACCTCGCACTTGAAAAATTCACGTTCCAGCGGCCCGTTCCTCACCAAGGAACTCGGCATTCACCACCCAGCCATCCTTGAGGCAATGCTTACAAAGCGTCTTCAGGGCTGTGAATATCGCAGAACATCACAGTCACTGCTTGCGTGCATACAGTTCCCACCCACTGTTGTATACAAAGTGGCACTCGCAGGAATAGCCACCGCTTTCTTGATCCACAGCCATTTAAACAGCTGCCGAAAGAGGCACCATGCCAATTCCCAGAGTATAATTGCTGCCACCAAATACGCAACAAGGTCTGAATTGTTGATAACCATTTCAATACCTTGAGCCAGAACCATCACCGTAGATGTGTTGGCGACCTTGCACACCCCTTCTTCCGAGCAAAAGAAACCAGCAGTTGACACTTCTTCGCCACCAGTTGCCATCCCTTGCAGAGATGCAGCCACCATCATGACCGCCATTGCAAGCGAGGCCCTCTTCAAGTCAGTCCCTTGTACCAACAGTCGGAGACCCCAAAGTGCCTTTTGCTTTGCATACACCTGTCCACTCATCAACTTGGTCAACAGGTCAGCGATCATATACTCACCGCGAAGATGCGCTATCACCATATAACCACGGTCCACCAGAGACCTGACACCGGCTGCTCGAATTCTCAGGTGTCTTGTCCTCCAGCTTCCAGCAGGATATTGAATGATCGAGCACGTTGAAACCGAATCTGTATACAGCACTTTTTGCAGCGATTCTTCACCTGTCCCAACCAAAGCGGCAATTATAGGGGTGCACGACTGAATCATCGTTGCTCCCTCTATGGACGCATGTAATTCAGCTTCAGCTGTACTTAAAGCCACCGTTGATTGTCTCTGTGTTGCCCACATCACTGGACAGTCACCCCACACCACCACCGCTCCTGAGTGGCTCTTTTCATTTTCACCTGCTGCAAAGCTGGCATCCGCGTAGGACTCCACCACCTTGACGCCTCGTCCATAACGCAACACCTCATTCCTTTCTTTTTCGCATGTTGCGATTGCTCCGAACGTCAGGCCTAACGTTGGAGTTGCAGCAAGGTATCGAAAAACCTCCTCAGCCTTTTTAACCACAAATCGCGGCCTTCGGGATGTCCACAAAGACAACTGGCTCGTGCAGAACGCCAAATCAGGTCGAGTTTTGATTGCCACCCAGAGGAACTCCCCTACGGCACCTTGAGCCGCTCGCAAGGAAGGAATATCCACCTCCTCTTCTTCACCTGGAGTTTCTTTCACCATTGGCAGGTTACTACCTTTTCCAGTTTCATCAATCTGATACCCTCTTCGGTTCAGCAAATCTCTCACAAAGTCCTCCTGGTTGAGAAAGAAGCTGCCATTTCGATACCAGATTTGGACACCCAAAAACTTCAGGAATCCATCACCACAGCCTGGACCACAGAACTCGGGTTCAGAAGTTTTCCACTCCTTCCTGATCTGTTCCAAGGCTTCCCGGAGCACTGTCATAGTCCCAGCCATCAAAAAATCATCCACGTAAAGACCCATTGTCCCTACCAACTTGCTTGCACCTTCCGGCTTTTCTTGTGCCATAATAAGGAACAGACTTGGGTCTGCATTGGACCTCTGAAAGCTCATTGCTTGTCCATCCTTTGACACCCAAGACATACCTTGAAGACGTTGGTCTCGCCACTCCACCCATGCTGCAGGACTTTCGGCCAAACCGTACAAGGCCTTTCTCACAATCCACCGCTCCTCCTTTGTGCAAAGACCCAATTTCACCGCCGCCCTTGGGGGCTGCACCACCACCAAACGCCCTTCTCTTTGCGCCCTATTCATCGGCGCCGTCAGAAAAGCTTTGGAAATGTCTAAACCAGCGATGATCCACACCATATATGCTGCGTGCCTCACTTGACACCTGAATGTGGTTGAATCTAAACCAGGAGCGTACAGCGAGTGACGACTGAGGGACCTCGGCCCTTCATACTCTGTAGCTGCCGTTGACGAAATAAAGTTTCCACATGCACAGATACGGGCACGTCGCCTCCCTGTCCCTTGCTTCCGGGTAAACACCACCAGACTGGGAACGTACTCAATCACCGGTGCATTAGGTTCTTCCGCCAATTTGTCCAGCTTTTCTTGAGTTGTTGGTTCCACCACCTCCAACTCTTTTACCAAAGACGTCACCTCGTCCGACAATGATTCCCTCCACTTTTCCAGCTCTTGCATGGCTTCTTGTGTAGGGATTGTTTTTGTTTGCAGAAACTCAACCTCCTCTGCTGCCTCAAGCGCGGTATTTTCTTGTACCATTTGCTGAACTTGAGCTGCTTTGACCAAAAACTTCGAGAGCTGTTCCTCAGCCCTTTTCGCTTTAACCAGCCATTCTCTAGTCTCTGATCCTTTTGCCTCATTCGACTCATTGGCCGATCCATGGAACTCGTCCAAAATGCAACATTCCTGTTCAGCAATTAGGCGTCGAATACTCAAATGCTCCTCTAGAGCCCATTGATGCGCTTTTCACAGCGTAGTCGACTTCCTCTGCAAGGTCGTCCAGCGAGGTTTCTTTCAACGTCATTTTTAACCATTTCCTTTTTTCACCTTCTTCAGCTTGTAGTTCTGGAAGAGGAAACTTGCATTGGAGAAGATAGCACCTATCCTTGTAGCCCAAACGCTCCATAAAAACAGGTGTGTACCCTGTCAAGGATACCCTGTTCCCTTTCCAAGGCATAGGACCATGCAGTTTTCTCGGAAAGAACGACATGAAGTTCCAGTGGATATCCACCAATTTTCCAGGTAAGACTTTCTTCCCATAGGATTGCTCCACCACTTCAGCTCCTTCCTCTAAAACCTTTTCATCCTCAACCCACAGCTGACCATCTTTATAGTCACCAAAGCCACACACATAATTGCAGCAATGCTTTTCATTGTGACTATCCCTATGCAATGACACCGGAGCATTGCACGAGATCTGAAGAGCAGAAAATTTGGCTTCAGGATTGTGGTGCCTCACGAATGATGCCAAATAACGACATAGCCATGGTCTCCGATGAGTCTCTTTTGTAATACCACACACTCCGCCATGAGTATAGTGGCCCAACACCAGAGCTCGCGTACTTGTACACCAATTGTTGACACCACCTCTTCGATTCACCCTCTTTGGGTATACAATCCCTTCCAAAAGCTCCTCGCAGTCCACGTAATCATACATGGACCTTTCATACATTGACTTGGCTTTTTGCTCTTCTTTTTCCAACTGTGTTCCATCCCCAGCAGTCTCACTTTTGCAGACCAAATAAGCATTTTCATGAGGAGAACAGCAAGTCGGCCAATACTCATCACCAGGAACATTGTCCTCAACATCTGCATTTTCTTCCCGCTCCCCCAGACCCTGCATGTCATCCTCGAAAATTTCTAAGGGCGGACTCTCCCCCCGCTTGCGGAGCAAGCGCAAGGAGCCCACATGACCACGCAGTGAAGAGGCCGGGCTTTTCTCCATCAACCGATGGCGAACTGGAGGATCGCGAGGCGGAGGTAAAGGAGGACCTTCCTCATCAGCGAACCGAAGCGCCGGTTTTTTCCCCTTGAGACGATGCTCTGGAGGAGAAGGCTCCTGTTCTTCTACCACCCCTTCCAGCTCCAATTCAGGCGGTTCCTTTATATTGGAAAAAATCGTAGTGCAGGGAAATAACACCAGTTCATCCGGATCTTTTGCAGTCCCTTGAGCTTCCACCCAATAACCACCAGGTAGGTCATCGCATGGACCCAAAAGAAGCGCAGGCTGCGTACGATCGACCCATTGCCGACCTTTCTTTGTTCCATCCGGACCCAGCAACTCCCACGGACGACGTTTGACTTGAATCTGAGCACCAAAGGGAAGCAATGCTTTAGGATTTAACCCCAACTCCCTTTCAGCTTTCTGCCACCGTAACATTGACCAATGGCGAGCAGCCAGTGCCCAGTACGCCGGCCCGAGTCGCGCCTCCTTTAAGAGCGATCTGACACCACGTTTGAATAAACCCACACACGCTTCAGCGCGCCCATTTGTTTGCGGGACTCCAGGATCACCAGTGGTCCTATATATCAGACGAGTTTCACAAAAGGACCGGAAGCGTGCATTGACAAACTCCCCCGCTCGATCTGAGTGGATTCTCAACACCGGATACCCATGTCTCTGCAAGCGCACCATCATCCTTTGAACCGCCGACAAAACAGTTGTTTGCTGTTTGTCCACAATCGGCTCCACCATAACGAAGTTGATCATACGGACAGGTTGGGTCAAGTGGTCCTTCAGTTCCTTCCAGGATTTTTCAGAAGCTTGGATTTTCAACACCTCTGCCTCCAGAACTGGCGCAGGTTCCACCGGCGCAGAGTCTTCCTCCTCGAAGTTAGCGACTGCATCGCCTAACCATTCTCCGACACCAGCACCTCCATCTGCCACCTGATCTTCCACCTCATCCGCATCTCCCTCCTTTTCTGGAGGGCGACCCA